GAATGGGTAATGAAGAAAAACTTTAATAAAAGTTTAACATAACAGCAAATGTACAACGTTTCGACCCTGGGGTGCCTCTTCTAAGTTTCACAACAGTTCCGGTCATGTGACTTCTTTGTTGAATACTGTATATATATATATATCCGTGTCAGTGTAAATTACTTGTACCTGATGATGACAAAACCTTGTCGAAACATTGTACATTTGCTGTTATGTTAAACTTATATTAAAGTTTTTCTTCATTACCCATTCAAGACGTCTCCAGCCATTATTAGTCTCAATATGGGTTCCTCGTCATCGAATTTGAGTACCTCATTAGTTCAACAGGCTATGAACTCTCATTTTCTTCCCTTGTAACTAAAAAAATCCACATACATTATCATTTTCTTACACTGAAAATAGCTTTCCAGTAAATACCTCCTCTCACACAATAGCTTATCTTGATCTTACACTGCCTCTAATGCATTGAAAAGAAAATTTCTCATTTGACACACAAGCCTTTTTACCTCATAAATTTGAGCTGCTCATTTGTCATGCACAGAGTATGTGACAACTCTCCACCAATAGAAGCACAACACACTCTAAAGCAGCTGGCTCCCTCTGTACTACTTTACATGAATCTCACTTTTGAGATTAGGTCCACAAGAAACAAAAGAACACCGGAAGTGGGGAGGAAGAGTGTAAGCAGAGTTATCTGTAGAAAATCTATTTTCAGTGTAACAAAATGATAACTTCCAATATGATACATACCTCCTCTCAAACAATCTCACATTGTGTAGGTGGAGAGACAAGTGTAAAATAAAATACCTTTGCGTAAAACTTAAATGGGCAGCATCGAGGCCTGGAATTAGTAAAAGAAAGACTTTTGAAAACAATGTATCAGGTGTAAATAATCAACGAGATTCTACTTCATCCTCAACGATACAAATGTGACCAGAAACAAACTGATTCCATTAGGATAAGAATCACAAGTAGTATAAAGAAAAACAGACACAGATAGGTAATTCCAAACCCAAACAGAAAGCCAACACCAGTTCACAGAATTATCAGTATTATGAGGTGTAGGACCTTGTGTAAGATCAAAGCCAGTATATACAGTGTATGGTGTCCAGGGTAGGTGGACTGTAATATATACACCAACCCCTCCTGTAAGCAAACAGCATCCACCAGACAAACTTCCAAATCAACAGCATGAAAAGGAAGAACAATAAACCAAACCTGGACTTAAGGAGCTGTGTCTAAGCCTAAGAACAGGGAGTCATCCTGTACCCGGTATTACATCAGAAAAATAATGATTCTAACTCAACTGTAAGAGCAGGGAAGAGACATCATGCACCCGGTATTATGAGGAGGAAATGGAACGTCTGCTCAACTGTAGGAACAGAGCATCACACATCCCACAAATAGTATTATGAAGAGGACAAAGTCCCCCCGAGCTCAACCTTAGAAGCAGGGAAATGAAACATCCTGCAACCAGAATATTGAGAGGGAAAGCCTACAAATCTTAACCATAGGAACAGGGCATTATTTACCACTGGAATGTGCCAAGAATTCCCAAACTCCACTCTAGGAAGGGAGATATTAAAAATATTGGGGAGTCTAGAGAAACGTCACACCAGAGAAAGTGCAGTGGGTGACCGTGAATCCCTACTTTGAAAAGCAGACCACTCCTCATTTATTCAATCGAAGGAGCAGCAGGTAGAAGTAGCAATCCCTTTCTACTTTACTCATGATATACCACAAGTGACAGTCTGCCAAGTATGTATCAGAATTATACTTAATGGGTGGTGGTTGGGAGTTATACTAATTAGTTTAGATAACTTGGTTGGGATTTTATACTAGTATAATTTGTCTACTGTGCTAC